TCTGTTCGTATCTACCAATACATTTTAAGCCAACCAATCCTGATGCTTAAGAAACCTTTCGGTAAAAGAATCATGTGGTGCCCCAACCTATCCCACACTTCAGTGTAGGTGAATGACCATGTGTGGACATCGCCAGCATTTTACTTAAAAACCTTTGTGGTCTCAATTCTTTTCTGCATCAAGGCTTTTTTTTTTTTTTTTTTTTTTTCTCAAACCCAGTGTGCTAGCCAGGCCCAGTACAACAGAACTAGGAAATATGAGATTTAATTTAAGCAACCTACAGCCATTCAGATGGAAATTAAGAGATGAGTGTCCCAGTTTTGCAGAGGAGCCTAGGAGCCAGGAGCCTTAGGACTTCTGTGTGGTTTGATTGTGCTAGGCAAGCTGTTAGTTCTCAATGTGTGTAAGGTGAATACTGGTCACTCAGCTTCTCCACGAAGGCGAACCCATTAAGGGAAGAAGCGCTGGGAAATTAAGAAACTTATCTCAAGTACCTGGAGTTGGTCACTAACTGTAGAAACGCCAACCCACCCAGGCGTTTTGACTGGCAGCAGGAGCCGACCTAACCTTGACAAGCTAGAGGCGGCCGAGCATGCTCAGTTCCCAGGACGCTTGATTGCAGAGCAGGAGGTAGGGCTGGGAAGAGGCCGGGAGAAGTCTGGTCCCCGCAGGCGGGGAGCTCGGAGGCGGCGCGCTCGTGCGGGGGGCGGAGCCTCGGCTGCACGCTCGCCTCGGCCCCGCCCCCTGCTCCTAGCCGGCCGCTCCAGGGCCGCCGGTTTCCCTAGCAACCGTCGCGCCGCGTCTTTCTGAGGGAGCGTCAGTCAGCATCTCACCGCTTGCTCCCCACTGCCCAGAGGTTTTAGCGTGGCCTCAGACTGACGGATAACAAAAATGGCGGAGCGGAGCCAGACGGCGTCCGAGCCAGGTCTGTGAGGGCTGTAGAGCAGGGGAAGGCTGATGCGCCGGTCTTGGGCCTGAGGGGATGGGGACTCTTCGTGGCCCTAGCCCTGAGGAGGCGTCCTGTGGGCTACTGCTGTGAGACTGTTACTTCAGGGTCAGGGTTCAAGGGAGTTGTGTATCTCTCTGAGTGGCCAGCAGGGCATTTCAAAGTTCAGCTCATGGAGGACTGTGGGGGCAGAGTGCACATTACTGAGTGAGCATGGGCCCAGAAAGGGCTTGCAGAAAAGATACAGGACCCATAATTTGAGGGGCACCTATGATGGGGGCTGAGTCAAGATCCCGGAAAAAGAGGGTGTTCACTGTCTTGTGGTAGCTTGGAAGGCTTCCCTCGTGGGATATGATCTGGAGCTGGGGAGAGTGTGGAAGATAGATACATTACGTTTATATGGGCTCCATGGAAGTGGAGTTTATACAGAATATTTGTGTTTAGGAGAACTCTAAAGTCCTAAGGGCCACCAAGTAGTCACACAGAAAGTTATAAATCTTCCTGAGTCCCTAAAAAGACAAGATACTTGAAGGGTCACAAATAACTCCAGTCTGTTTGGAGTCTACCAAAGGAGGCTAGAAGGTGAGTGTATTTGGGATCTTGAAGGTCATTCAAAATCACAATGGGTGACATGTCCATATTTCTGTGAGTATAAGATGACCTTAAGTAGCAGGGACTCAAATGGAATGGAAACCCAGGCTCCTGTCTCTAAGGGTATCCTTGTGGGTTTGGTTGGACTTAGAAAATTAGTAATCAAAGTTCCTTACTGGCTAATAGAAGAAAGCAAGAGTCCTTTGTATATAAGAGATTTTTCTGTAAAACAGGCAAAAGACTGAGCAGCTGAAATTTTAATGTAAGGGATAATATCAGTGTTTGCATAGAAAATCAGTGAGTTTGGGATATGATAACGGTGGGTAGTAAAAGTGGGCTATATGTTACCTTATGTACATGTTAATTAGATATTATGAGCTATCATAGAGTGGCTCACTTAAATTACTTCAGATCCCCTCACCCTGTTTGTGCACGTGCATGTTCTAAGGCAATGGAATACAGAAACTGTAACTATAAATTACTTGAAATTATCAAGAATGGTTCAAGAGACTATTATCCGTTAAGGCCTCTCATGATTTCTTTTTGATTGGCATCTCTATTTTTCCTCCATTCATTTTGCAGTTGTTGATATTTTATAGTATACCATGAACATTCCTTTATTCACTCATCCACTTAAAATGTTTAGTAAACGCTAACTATATGTCAGATACTGAATTAGGCACTGCAAACTCTTTGCCTTTTATTCTATTTGGGCATTTTTGTCTTTTATTCCTTTTGAATCTATTATGTAAACAAAGTTATTAGTGTCATTAATTATCCCTCTCCTTCCACTAATATATAAACTCTAAATGGTTTTGCTTTGCCTATTGCTCTCACATGGTCTTGAACTAAATCTGGTGTAATTATGTTTTCAATGAATAAATGACTGGATTGACTGGAAGTGATAGTTTAGCTGAAATATAATAGAGATTATAAGTGAAGAGAGCAAAGAGAAGTTTAGGTAGAGAGAACCCACATACAAAGACCTCAAGGAAGGTATTACTGTACTTTGTAAGCATCTAAAGAAGACAAATGCAGGTGGAGCTCATGGTGCAATGGGAGGGGAGGGGTGGAATGCTGAAGCCAGGTCTTATAGCACTTTTAAGATGTAATTTTGTTCAAAATTCCCAAGGTTAATGGGAAACCATGAGGGTTTTAAGTGGAAATATGGAATCATTAGAATAATTGAAAAAAACAATTCTAGCTGTAGTAGGAAGTATTAATACAAGAGTGTATATAGGAGAACCTGTTAGGAGAAAATAGTGGGGGTGTAAAAACGTGACACAGCCGGTAAAATAGATATAACTTAGTGAAATATGAGATATCAGTGATTAATAATTTTCTATCTCGTGCAAATGATGGTTAGTTGTGCCACTATAAAGATAACATTAGAAGAGGTCTTGGCTAGGTGTGAGGAATCTTTAAGACGCCCAAGTAAGTATAGACATTGACAAAGCAGTTGAATTTATACGTCAACGTGTATGGAGATAATGATTTTGGAAGTGTGATAGTGATGTTATGAATGTGGATGAAATTGTGTAGAGGGAGAAAAGGCCCAGGGTGATCTGAGATATTTTAGTACTTACCAATGAGACTGAGAAGGTGTAACCAGAGAGAGTACAACAAAGAGTATTTCAAGATAAGTAGAATCCTCAAAAGACTAAATACTGCCAAGGGATATGAAATGAGGAGTGGGAAAGTAGATTTAGCAACAGTGAGGTCATAGGTAACTTTGATGTGAGAAAACTGATGATGGAAAATCCAGGTTACCTATCTACTAGCTTATTATGCCTCTCAATATTTATTTCTTAATTCAGATTTCTAAGTGAGGTAGTCAATTTTAATTGCTAATCTGATGTAAATCTAGATTCTAGGTTCTAGAATAATCTGGGCAAGAAGTGTCTATGAGGAATTTTCTAAATAATGTGAGCATGTCATTAGGCACTGGTTTAATACTATGTCCATATAGGAAAGTAGTAGTAGTGGGTTTTTTTTCCCAATGGAAGTAGCACAAATTTGCCTTGATAGGGGGAAAAGGATACAATGCTAGGTGGTGGGTAAGGAGAGGTGGATCTTGGAAGAGTTGGGAGAGCAGAAGAGATATGATCAAAACACTTTATACAACCCATCATACATCAAATCCTAGAGTAACTCATTCACAAGCTGTTATTCTAGATTATAAGGCTCTTAAAATACTCCTTTAGAACCTATATAGAAATTATAATGAAATATATATTTATATATTATATAGCATTTATACAAGCAGTGACCTCATAGATGTTTGAATCCTGCATTACTCTTTTATGATCTGTGGGAGCAAGAAAGATGCTGTAGTTCACTCTGGAAGAAAGAGAAAACTTTTAAGCCAAAATGATCATTACCCAAATATATCTCGCTCCCTTCACAATACCCAAGATATGTTTTTACAATTGCACTTATTGATAAGTTGCAATTACCAATAAATTTAGAACCATAAAAGAAAGTAGGAATATAAACACTGAGGCTCTTTCCTTCCTTTAGTGTATATCATTTTAGTAAAACAAAAGAGCAGTAGCATGAAGTTAAGAGGACTGTATTAGGCTTTCCCATGTCCATTATTTTCCCTAGTTCATCATTATTAAACCGTACTATGGATAGTCTCTTTGGTCAGAACTAGGATAGACTCTTGGGAAAGTAAATATAAGTAAACTGTCACTTTCTGAGGTAACTTAAGGCTTTTAGTATTTTTCAATTGGATTTATAAGTAAAATAAAGGGTCAGTTAACTTCTCTTAGTTGTACCTATTTGTCCTAGTTAGCCTCAACTGTAAACTTGTTATAGCTCAGAGTCTCTGAGAAGCCAGTCTCAATTGAAAGATTGCCCAGATTAGATTGACTTATGGGCCTTGTTAAGGATTTCCTGGATTGCTAATATTATAGGTCCAAACTAGTGTGGGTAGCACCATTCCCTCAGCAGGTGGTCCACAGCTGTGTAAGAAAGCATGCTAAGTATGTCTGTAATCCAGACAGTAGTTTTCTTTCATAGTTTCTGCTTCAAGTTTCAGCTTGACTTTCCTAAATGGTAGATTGTGTCCCAAAAGCATAAGCCAAATAAATCCTTTACTCCCCTCAGATGTTTTTGGTCAGAATCTTTTATCATAGCAATAGAAAGGAAACCGTAACAATGTTCGGTCCTGATGCAGCTTGATGAGCTGGGTTGGATGGGAAAAGGAGCTCCCCTTTTCTGAAGAATAGACAAGCGGGGTAGGGGAGGGGAAGGATGAAAGTTGGGACTGTGAGAGGAGGAGGGATGGGGCTACAACTAGGATGTTAAGTGAACAAAATAATAATAAAGATAGCTACTGAAAAATTTGGCTGCTTTTTGGTCATGGATTAAATGATACCTGAAATCGGAAGATTTAAACGAGAGGACCTGGAATAGGGAAATGATGAGGGCATTTTCGAAGAAAGTATCTGTAGCTTTTGATGACTGTGATGAAGAAAGAGAAGTTGCTTTGCCAGCATGTCTGAATGTCCACAATTTCTTAAGTACCTTGTATAGCTTGCTTTTAGGCTTCAAAAATTCTGTAAGGATAGTTTGTTTGATTTCTGTAATTTTTAGACATGTGACTTAAGTTTGGAATGGTATGGTAACTTACTTAAGCTCACATAGCTGATGAACAAAAAGAGTGTCCAAGCTCTAGCTAACCCCAGAGGACTTCTCTGTGACCTTGTGCGTATCTTTCAAAAGATGCAGAAGAAAAAACATTAAAAGTGACATATGATTAAACTTCAGCTTTCATTGACAGGAAATAGTAGAATATGTGTGGAAATGTTTCCATTGTAGAAAGGATAGATTTATTTTAGGCACTTAAAATTTCAGGAAAAAATGAGGTAGATGTATGGACATGGTTACGGTGCTTTTAGAAATGTGAACTCTGACTCTGAAAGAGAGCTTCAACAGGAAATACACCAATAAAAGTCTGTGAAGTTGAATGTATAAGTATGGACATATGCTATCTAAAGATTAAATTAGATATAAAATCAGTATTTATTTAAATATTTTGAAAAATCGATATATGAAGAAATTTTTATAAAACCTGAATATGTTTTTATTTTTTATTTTTATTTTTATTATTAGTTACATTTTATTAACTCTGTATAGCAGCTGTATCCTGCTCCCTCATTCTTTCCCAATTCCACCCTCCCTCCCTCATCTCCTCCCTGCCCCTTTCCAAGTCCACTGATTGGGGAGGACCTCCTCCCCTTTCATCTGACCCTGTTTTATCAGATATCTTCAAGACTGGCTGCAAAGTCCTCCTTTGTGTTCTAGCAGCACTGCTCCTCCCTTGGGGGGGGGGGAGTCAAAGAGCCTGCATTGAGTTCCTGTCAGAAATAGTCCCTGTTCTC